CAGGAGGTGTATGACCCCAATGACTGTCTGATGGGACTCTATGGGACTGTCTGATGGGACAGTTTTGCCTAAATCATCAGTGGTAGAAAAATGTATAATGTGTTAGAATATAACTTTGGATGTGCTCATCTTCTGTTTTACCTTCATTAATGAAGACACTACTGAGATTTGACAAAGAAAGTTGTTTTATTATATGATTCAGAGACAACATGAAAGGAAAAACATATGGCCAGTACACAGAAACTGTTGCTGTTTTATCTGTGAAATAAGGGAGAAGAAAGCTAAAAGTGTGACATTTCATAAGAGTAATTCACAAAAGAAAAATAATAATCTAGTGACTATCATTTAGAGAGAAGATACAAGATATAAGTGTTGATATCATTTTGAAAGAAACTAGTGAAAATAGGCCACTATAATGTTTTACAAAGCAGGAGATTGAATATTAGAAACACTCCGATCTCTTCAGTGTCTGGACAAACTCTTTGCCTTGATGTGTCACTTTGCAGGAAATGCTCTCATGCGCTTTATAATCAGAGGTGGTCATGCTGAGGTAACTGCTTTCCATGTATGAACTGTCACTTTGTTTGTTAGCTGGTGACGTGTACACTCCAGTCGTCCATGTTTTCCCATCTACCAAAAACTCCATTGTTGCGGGCCTGGGGTAATAATCACGGGCAGTACAAACTATGGTGGCTGAGTTAGTCTTCTGCTCCTCTTCAGAAGGAGGATATATAAGCACAGATGGTACCTTCACTTCACCGGCTGTTGGATAAAGGAAACACAGACATGTTAAGTCTATTATATAGTGTGCTAACAGTTAACAGTTACATTCATTTGATTATCATCAGGTTTATTCAATGGAGTTGATTCACGTAAGTGGCAAGAATGTTCACATAACATATTGGACAAGTTGATGCTAAGTTCCTAGTGAGTACCCAGTAATGTGTGGGGAAATGAATAAAAGGGCATTACTCTTTGTAAATGATTGAATAATTGAAGTAAATGCAGCTCGCCGTGTTCACTTAACACAGTGAAAAAGAAGCGAAGTTCCCTTTCAATAACCATTCATGTGTTGGGTAATTAAGAAAGAAAAACTGTTTTGCCCTTTGAAAATAACTGCATAATTAGGTGAACACAGTTTAGCTAATAGTGTGTAGTGTACAAACAATCAGCCTCTGCCTATTATTATTATTTATTATTAAAAAAATCTCTTTTTGTTGCTATGGGGTACTGAACTTTTTACATTAGCTCTAAATATACCCATATAAGAAATGTTAACTATCATCAAGTATAAAGGTATCGTTAGAGCCCTCTAATGATCAGAAATCCAACCTAAACATGACAGGCCCAGCAGTGGAAAGACATGTCAGCATTTTCAAATAACCTTTTTTAATTCTATTGGTACAACAATGATAATTCTAATTAAATTGGGTACTATTGAAATGATATACACAGAGAGGCAGCTACCTACTCTATGTCTAGATAGGTAAAACAGCAGAACTAAATATCAAATCTTTATTAAAGGTCAATTAAATCAAATATTTTTCTTTAATTATATTAGCTTTAGGTAATAAAAAGTAACTATGAAGATAAGAGTTCTTATTAAAGAGAACAATCTTACTACACTGTTTATTTGGTGAGGTATAGAACAAAGGGCAACGTCTAAGTAACTCTTAACTCAAACTTCATCCTTCAGTGATCTGACTAGCAAATTTTATCAGATCTACTGCTATGGAATACTGCACTTCTCACATCATTGCTTCATTAACAAAGCTAGTTTGTGTGACATTCTTTGTGAGAATAGTAGAAATATATACCCCATCAATGACTATGTTATATAACTGGTCACTGTATGCAGTTATGAAAAATATGTTACAGTTACCTATTTAGACATAATTGCTGTACTACTTTTGACTGGTTTCAGTCTTTATAAAATCCTTAATAAAGGACCTAATGTCCAAAATGCATACTATGTGAATGTTTAAATTACCCAGTATCATAGTAATCAATATAAAGAATTGTTGATAATAAATCATTGGTAAAAGGTGGCAGACCAAGAAGCCTCTTCTAATTATATTAACACATACAGTATTAGACAATTGAATTGTCTGTATTATGTATTAAGCAATTTGAATATATCTTCTCTATACACCTAAAACATAGATACAATTACACACAGACATAGAAAAGTATTGAAGAATGCAATAAATGTCAAAAAATATTACAAAGAGGTTTTCTGATGCATAAATAGTGATTGAATAAAGAAAGCAATGTTAGAACTTACTCAGGACGCTAAGCTGTGTTCCGCCACCAAAAATGCCCCACAGTATTTTAAAGCTGTACAAAAACTGAAATACCTTCACGGAGCCCTCAGAACACCACGATTAAAGATACAAAGATACTAATGCAGAACCTAAGTAGAACTTTTGCAGAAATGTTTACATTTATCATGATGTTAAAGTACTTGTAGGCCAGTCCATTGTATCATACAATTAGCCTTCAAGTATTTATCCACAATCTTCAGTGTTTTGTAACTAACAATCTTTTGCTTTGAAACACTGATAAGTCTGCTGGGACTATTTATAAAACTTGAGGAAAAATGGCTGTTGCCCCATGACGTCTAAATTGGTTTTCTTTCATTTTTGGATAAAAAAATTGCCCCAAGCCAAAAATGTATAAATGTTGAATATTTAATGTATACAATTAATATTTCTATTACTAGTATCACATATTATTTATGAATGGTTGATAATGAATGGTAAAAAGTGGCAGAACAAATAAACGCCATTTATTATATCACATAAAGTATTAATTGTCCCTGTTAGGTATTAAGGAATACAAATTATTAGCTGATTTGCACCTATTAAGAATTTAGTATTGTGAACATATCACTTCAATATAGGAGTACAATAAATGTCAAAGTAAATATAAAAAAGAGGTAATTAGATGCATAAATTGTGATAGAAGCATTTGTGGAAAAGTATTGAACTTACTCAGGACAGAAAGTTGGGTTCCAGGACCGAAAAATCCACCACAGTGATTTAGAGCTGTACAAAAACTGCTATACCTTGTGTAATGGGGCCCACCTATTGGTGCTAACACCATAACTGAAGAGACTTCAAGACGGCTTTACTAATGTAGAACTGTTGAAATGTTTTGAAGAAACTCCAGGCAAGTCTATTGTATTATACAAGTTGCCTTCATAAAGTCACCCATAATGGTCAATGTTTTAAAACTTTAACCCAAGTATTAGAGTGCTATAGATCTGACATCATAAAAAAAGCAGTTCCCAATATTACACATAACTAAATCAAGTGATAATGTTTTAAAAGGCGTGTGCCAGAGTTCCAGAAAGTAAAGGGATTTATCTGACCTTAGTAAAAATGGCTACCGTAAGAAGAATAGGGAGGTAAAGAAAAATAAGGTATGTAAAGAATAAAAAACCTGCAGTTATTTATAAGCATCTTTTTGTAGATCACCATTATGAAACATTTCTAAATGTGCCTTTGTTGTCATTTTAAAGATAAGGGAAAAATTCATCTTTAAGCCACTGCTATGGAAGATTATGCAAAACATAAAAAAATACACATTTCCCCTTATAATTAATTATAAAATATCATCTCTTTTTACTTGTCTCAACAATTTTTGGGAATTATTTTTAATCTTACGTAATTCATTTTTTGCTTGCATTTGGTGCTAAAGGAGATGGGTAGCTGGACCCTTGCTAACAATTAGTAAAATCATTGGGTCTGGATAAGAGAGCAGAACATCAGATTTATATTTGTTATAGATAATTAAACTGACATTAAATTATATAGTCAGCTGGGTTTAAATATTTTCTATGTGTAATGTCTACCTATGTTCTATGAATAATATCCAGTCTCAAGCAATGTTTTGAATAAACACCAAAATTAATATGTAATATACCTGAAAATAAAATACAGAACACCTTATGAATATAAAAATATGTCATACAGTAGTACATGATTGTTATATTATAGCTTGTATATAATTGTTGTATTATAACTTTGATCTAACTATCTTTGATTTATGTTGGCAGCTTTCTAAAGTAGTTTGTTAATAGTAGTACCGGTTTTGGCTGGTATGTAACCCACATAGCATAAAACTTTAAGGAAGAATAGCAATAAAAACGGTTATATTTAATTATCTGGATTACATGTTCTCATACAGTTCATCTGAAAGTAATGAAGGTTTGTGCTACAGTCCAGTTCCTCTCTAGTATAAATTACCAAAAAGGTTTGACACTGATCAGTGACAGTACACTGGGACACAGCTGTGACACACTGAGAATGGCACTCATGTAGATAAGCCAGTTATAAATATTTGTTTAGCATTGGCTTGAAATTTTCTCCCTTGAAGAACATTTTAAGAACTACCTTAACTATTAACTAAAATGTAGCTTATCTGTGCATCATTCAGCTGTAGTCTTCAAAACCTCTCTGAATTCATGCTGACACTGTCCTTCCTTCTGGAGGGTGGCTACTTTTGTTTCCCATCGTTCCTGTATCTTTTGTAAAGTAGCTACTACTCCAATCTCACTTACGTGATGGACAACAATCTCATGTTTAGTTTACTAATTTGTATTAAGATTTTAGTCCATCACGGGAGTGAGCTTGGAGTGGTGGTTACTTTACAACACACACAGGGACCATGGGGAACAAAAGAAGCCACTCTCCAGAAGGAAGGACAGTGTTAGCACAATTTTAGAGATGATTTGAGGATGTACAGCCGAGTGATACACAAATAAGATACATTTTTGTTCATAGTGAAGGTATTTGAATGCATTTTTAAGATTTAACTCCTGAGTTTAGTGTCAATTTAAATAGTACTCTAAACCACATTAAAAAAACCTATCCAAACACGTCTCCACCTCCACAACATTCCTATAATATAATTTCTTAAATAACAGTATCAATAAAAATGTATCATATGGGAAAAAAATAGATATATGAAAAAAGAAAAAAAGATGTGCTACTTACTTGTGACAGCCAGAGTGGTCCCTGTTCCAAAGATATACGCACTGTAGTACAACCTCGTTCAAAAACCATGTCCAGGACAACAACACATGGTGATGATACACAGGTGTCCTTTCTGTATACTTGATCATTGTTTTCTGTTGCATTTGTGCTAGTCAAATCCTCACTGTCAGCTATTTAGCAGTGCAAGAACACAAACAACCAAAGGATCATAATAACAATGTTAATACAAATTTGGGCACATAAGGGTAAGCAACAGTAAATTAAGTTTATTTTCTAGTGAATCTGAGGCTGCATTCATACATTTATGTTTCAGAATGCTAAATTACATTTGCTGCATCTTTGTCGCAATCTTTAGCAAAACATAGCTTCTAGAGTGATGTATGATAATGCGTGTAAACAAAATGCACTGAAACCGCACACAATAAAAAACACAGAGGTGTGACTATAGGATGGGGGGAACAACAGGCAATGGTACGGTATATACAATACAATAAAATTCTATAGTACAGTATATACAGTAAAATAGAGTACTACTAGAGTGCATAGTGCTGAGCTGTATGTATTATTAAATGAAGAGCAAAGTGTACAGTGGTGTATACTTATATACAGTAAGATGTATTTAACGGTTCTAGGTGCTGTAGGCATCCAATCAGTCTCATGATTAAACATGGGGCCTACACATGGTTACCGTACATGGCAGATGTGACCTGGACATGTTCCTACCTGTGAGTTCAGGACACCCATTGGATGTCTAAACCTAATAGAACTTTACCTTTACATGGAAGTTATACATAGCCCAGTGACTTTGTGTTCACATTTTTCATTGATTTTCTTTAAGGATTTTAAATATTTGCTTAAAGCTTTCCTCCAGGTAGATATAAAAGCCACAATTAATTCAGCTTTACAGTTATAAATAAATCATAAAGGACAACTGCACCTTTATTTGGAGTTGCCCTTTAAGGTGTGCCCCCACCCCCTTTGAGTGCATTACACTTGGTCAAGCTCTCATCTCTGTTCCTATTCCAGCAGCCTTCACTGCAGCCTGCCCGGATCCACACAGCACCTTTCCAAAAGCATCCTCGTCAGGTCTTCTTCATCATGCACATGCATGCCATGGCTCCAATATTTCTTATGGGAAACTGTACTCTTGGCAGGCTGCAGTCCTACTATGGAGTATGTAGTGTTCAAAGGTACACTACAGAGTACAGCTCTCATTATAGGAATTAATGGGGCCATAATGCACATGTGCAGGTAAAAGAGGACCCGATAAGGAAGCCTAATGAAGATCCCTGGAATTGGGACAGAGAAGAGTATTGGACCAGTGGGGCTGCACTCAGGTGGGTCATGCCTTAAAAGTCAACTTGTACAAAAACTACAGTAGCTTTTTAAAAGTTCTTTTTTTTAATGTAGCTCATGAAAGGGCAGGACTGGGAGCCAATCAGGTGTGCCGCATGCAAATGTTTTGGCAAGGAGCATGCGAATAGTGGGAAAGAGCAGAGAGAGCAGTGGGATGACCTTATCTGCTGTTGCTTTTTCACAGTCTAGGCAAAAGGCTGGAGGAAGAGAGAGGACACCACCACTGTATCCCTTCACTGTATGTTGTATCATTCACCTGTGTGCCTTGTTATGCTGTGTAAATCTGTGTGTTCTGTCTAGAGATGGACAGAACACAAATGATGTATTAAAAGGAGAACTATGGGGTCAGTGTTTTCCCCCATAGTTCTCCTTAGGGTAACGGGAGGACACAAACTAGCGTCCTCCCGTTACCCTAAGCTCAGTATACCGCGAGCTACAGCTCGCGGCATACTGGGACGCCGCAGCCGGAGCGGATCCCGACGTAGATGACGGGATCCGCCCAGCTGCGTGAGTGACAGCTGGCTCTGCCATCCGTTCCGCCAGTCAGCGCTGGCAGATCGGAGCAGGGAATCCAGCCCCTCCCCCTGTCACGGCAGAGAGCCGTGACAGGATCAGAAGGTGAGCGAACCCAGTATGTGTTTGCTCACCTCCCGATCTACTGAGCCGACCTGTGACAGTCTCATTGTCACAGGTCGGCTAGAACTGTGAGGTGAGTGGAAATCACTCATCTCATAGTTCTCCTTTAAGTTGTTTTCTGGATTTCAGCTTTGGACTTGGACTATTGGACTTTTATTAGGCCTCAATGCTCTCCCCAAATACTCCTTCCAAGTCTCAAACTTACCTGTCTCCACTCTTTTAGGATTGTTGCTGTGCATCCTGCCTGCCGGCCTTTTCTTTATAAATCTTCCAGCTAGGTTCTTATTGCCGTCCCTATCCATTCCTAGAAAAGCAATACATGTGATTGTGGTATACACCATAATGTGCCTTGGCGTTCTTTAATATCTTTTTATAAATTGCATCCCAAGATGGTAGATTTTATGCAACCCCTATCCTGCAACGTGTACATCCAAGTTCCCTTATACCCCTCAGCCTGTACCTCTAGCTTGCCCTGAGCCCAGCGTTGATGGCTAATTCTGCATTGACTACCTCAAAGTCCTGGGATCAAGATCCCAAGTACGCTGTTACCCCTTGTTGCATCTGTGTGGATTATGTGCCTGTGAGCCCAGGCATTTTTTCAGAAACCTGAAGTATGCACTGCCAACATCAACGACAAAGCATCTGCCTGTTTAGAGTAGAACTTCAAGGTGTTTGGGCCATTGGAGCATCAGGATGCCCACCACTGTTTTTTTTGTTGCATGCTCTGACGTGTGCGATAATGCGAATGGGTCTGATTCATAAATGCTGTGTAAGTGATCTCAATTTAGCTCACTGATTGGGTCCCTTGTACTCACCTTCTGCCCTCAGTGACATGAATAGCAGCACTTTTGAGCTAATTTCTCTCTACTTTAGCTCAGCTATACAGCTAACTCACTTACCTGCCCACAGCCTGTGATTGGATGGTCAAGGAGCAGCAGCAGACAACTGAGTTCAAACCCCTGCTCAATCTGCTCTGCTAAAAGAAAAATGGTAATGGGCAAAGTTTAAAGAAAAATATTACATTTTGTAAAAAACTATGGAGGGGGAAAGAGGGTAAAAGCTTAAAAAAAGGTCTAATTAGGTTTACTGAAGGGTTATTAGTGTGTTGGTGAGGAATCTTTTTTAATGTTTTGTTATTATGTTTAGTACTACAACAGAGGGAGCAGACGGTGCAGCAGCAATCAGGCAGACAAAAAGGTGAAGGGATAGCAATAGGAAGAGCATGAGGAGGACAGCGGGAAGCACAGCAGGTGCACAAAGGAACCCGGTGATCAGGAGCCTCCTCTGGCTCTGTATAGTTCCAGACATCTGCATTCTTCACAGCCAGGCTGTCAAAGTGACAGTCCAGCCCTACTGATTATACTTGCAGAACTGCTCTCTAAGGATAATAAGCAGAACTCCTCCTTGTGCTCTGCAGTCCTGATACACAGAGCACAGCAGGCTAGCTGTCAAAGTGAGAGAAGTATTCGCTGAACACACTTGGAAAATGGCTTTGCCATTCTTTAGAAAAGAAAGTTTACACACCTACCAACCCTAATTAGTTTTGTTAAACTTCATTATATCATCTCCCTTTTCCCTGATTTGTTTTACAGTATATATATGTAAACTTTTAAAAATAGTTTGCTGTGTAGCACTGCATTAAAATACTTTTTACCAGAAACATATTTTTATATGAAAGACACAAATTGCTAAATAAAATTTAGACTTGTGATGGGTTCTTAGATGGAAGAAAACATTTTGGTTAGCATAGTGGTAATATAATTCTGGCAGTTTCACCACACTTAGTATAATTAAAACACACTACTGTAGTTTAATCATGTTGCAACATACTGTACCTCCATCCTGTTTTTCATGGACCAAACAATGTAATCCTAGGGCCGGTGGACAACAGCTAACATTTCTGAACCCTGCTCCAGCTTGGCCAATATAGTTGCAGACACGCAGGCTCCATCCTTTTTAGCTTCAGAGGGGAAGGGGAATATTTAAATAAAAACCTATTGTAAGACTACCACTACTAACAAGTAGTGATTATTTAGAATAAGGTCAAAATAATGATTTGAAATCAGTCTATCTTTATCCATGATGAACAACTGATTCAGTTTACCTTATAATTTGCTCACTTCTAGGATTTATAATCATGCATTGATAAGTCAAGTTAAGTTCCCAGTATGCATATGAGACAAGGTGCCACTGGAAGATGGTCTGTCACCTATGCAGGACATTGTAACTGTTTATAGTGTTTGTCAGTCTCAGTCTGATAAAATATCTTATTTTGTAAAAGATGCTATTTAAAAAAAACCCTCTCAGCTGACTGCAGCCATTGCGAGATTTAGCTTCAAATGTTGTAATAGATTTACTGCCCCTGTGTTGGTGGTGTCCCTGAAAGTTGGTGGGGAAATAATACTGTTGTGTTGGTGTCAGAGGGAAGAAAAAATGCCACTGTGTCAGTGTCAGTCAAAACAAATAATGCTGCTGTGTCAATTTGAGGAGGACTGCTTTGGCACCTGTGCCAGTGGCAGGGCTGGATTAAGAGCATCATGGGCCTGGTGCTGATGATTTTGGTGGGCCATTGTATAGAAATGTCAGCGGTCACCGGGGCCCTATTCCTCCTGTCTGGGCTGTGTAGTCTCTCTATATCTTGTAATCTGTGGTGGAGCACAAGGGCCTGGTTGGAGCTGCAACCCTTGTTGTTCTGACACTGACTCCAAGCTGTAGAGGACTACAAATCTCAGCAATACATTATACAGCAATACAGAATACCACCAGCTATAGAGGACTACAAATCCCAGCAATACATTATACAACAATGCAGAATAATACCATCATTTATAGATGATTACAAATCCCAGCAGCACATTGTACAGTAATGCAGAATAATATGAAGCTACATACTCTGTGTTGCTCTGAGTTCACGGCCTCATGTCTCCAGGTTCTCAGGAGGGCTGTGTGGCTTTCAGGTGGCCAATGTGGGTTCTTAGGTGGTCAGTGCGGTCTCTCATGTGGTCAGTGCGGGCTATCAGGTGGCCAGTGGAGGCTCTCAGGTGGTCAG